CCCTCCCTCCCTCCCTCCCTCTCTCTCTCTCTCTCTCTCTCTCTCTCTCTCTCTCTCTCTCTCTCTCGCACATGCACACATATTCAATTCTATTTCTATCATCTGCTTTTTGAGTGTAAAGACTCAGTTCTCAGGAATAGTAATTCTTTAATATGCCTGCTAGCCACGAAGGTGTCATTATTCAAAAGGACAGAGCAGAGGCTGAGGATTTGAGATCTCAAGACACTTCTCTTCATCTCAGGCTCAACCTTTCCTCTTCGAACAAACCTGTGAGAGACCAGACAAAAAGACAACTGCAGAGGAGATACAGAGAGGCAGGCTCATGCAGATCCTTGAGATAAGTATTTCTGCAATCCACTCGTGGGGAAAGGGTACTTTAGGTGAGAGGTCCCCTTGCCCTGCTCCTCTCTGGAATTGAGATTAGGTTTGACTTTCTCCCTATCCACCTTCCAGAGACTTAGAGCTGGAAATGAACTTGGAAACCCAACAAAATGAGCCTGTTTGAACATTAATCTTTTGATACAAAGCTTATTATCAACTTTCCAAATGTCGGAAGACCTGTGATGTGAGGTAGAGGAGAGGAGGCCTATTTTGCAATCTGATGCCTCAGGATAGTTGACCTTAGAAAGCAACAAAGTGCTTTTTACAGCAGATAATCTGCAGAGCATCAAGGTAAACTCAGATATAACCAACAGCATCAGAGCTCACAAAGTGACAATAATGTGCAAAGCAAATCTGATTTCCCGTGAGGCATTTTACACACTTAAAGCATTGATTCTTGTCAGATTTTCATTTTATGTTTTATGTCCACAATTCCATGACCAACCATCTACTACTTTGAAACCTTAAAAGTTCAGAAATAATGTTTCTGAAATGTTTTCTTATTCATCACTCTCTTTTTAGAGTTTCTCACTAACAGTTTCCCAAAGTCCACAGTTTGCCAAAGTCCTCAGTTTCCCTCATCTACAATAAGAGTTCCCCAAAGAGGGACAATAAAAGCACACAAATGTTGTCCACCCCAAACAGCAACCTCAGATCCATCTGTGTCTTCCATTCCCCATCAGACCTGTGGTCCTGTTGAAGCTTTCCTCCAGGTGCCTTCCTTGTTCACCCTCTTTTCCACTACACTGAGTTTTCAAGGCTTAGCTCCCATCTTTGATTCATCCCATTGGCCTTTGCCTATTAAGTAGGTGCTTCTGGGTCTTTAAAAATCTCCTCACAGCTGGTTGTGATGGCATACACCTTTGATCCCAGAACTCAGAAGGAAGAGCCAGAGGCCAGAGGGCAGATGGATCTGTGTGAGTTTGAATCCAGGCCAGCTCAGGGGTGCACACACACACACACACACACACACACACACACGCACACACAAAACCTCCTAACAGTTTCCTCCATAAGCAAGGAGAACTTTTTATTTCTAGCCACTCTTATCATCTGTTCTATACTCTGGTAGACAGAAAAGCTCAAGCTAAGGTCAAGAAAAGAGACTTCAGGACCATGCATATGGTCACAGAGGGCATACACTACCCTCGTCTTCCTTCTTCTCCAATTCGTCCTCTTTTTCCTCCTCTTCCTCCCCTTTCCTTCTCCTCCTCTTTCTTCTTTCCTTCCAACTTCCTCTCTCCCTCCTTCCCTCTCTCTCCCCCCCCCACACACACATTCTTTCTGTCCAGGTCCACAATCAGGAAGTCCCCTCAGCTGTCTTTACCTCAGTATAGAGTCATGCAAGGTGTGGTCCACTAAGGACTTTGTACAACGGAACACAATCCCATGTAAACAACAGGTATCTGGCCAGACTAAAAGTGTATCTCCAGGAGCACATTACTATTTCCTTCTGAGAGCTGGGAGGAAGGCAGAGCATGTCCCCTCCTGAGGATGGGTCAGTGGTGGCTGTGAACGTCACAAGTCTGTGAGAGGGGGAGCCAGCACTGACTTGGCTCTGGGATAACAGAGGTTGGCAGTTTGAGTTCAGGTTTGGTGGGTGATTCCTGAAGCACCTACTGGTACAACAGCATCTGACCTTGACCAACATTTTCTTTCTCCTCCAAGAATTAGGAAACCTGCCTCTCTCTCCTGTGAGCAGTGGAGAAAAACAGAGCAGCAGGAAATGAGTCAGGGATAGAAGGGTCAGACTCAGGTGGAAACAGGTTCTCCTCCTTGCCTCTTCCCTGTAACCATGTGATTCTTTCCAACCTAAAAGGAAAAACTTAATGTTACTAACCACTGAATAGTAAGTCAGAGATAAGAATGAATATGAAGAACCAGTTGTTTCCCAATGGGCTCAAGATGACAATAGTAAGAGTAAAAATAAAGACTGGAAATGTTAGAAAGATTGAACCTGCAGCACACAGGATCTGTATGAAGGGCAAAGGAGAAGGACAATGAAAGACAAGAATAATGCATAATCATATTAGTCATATTTGACATTTTGATTTGAGGTGTCCAGTAGACATCTGGGCTGAAGATGAACCAGCAGTTGTTAGTTTTTGTTTTGTTGTGTTGTGAGTTTCTGTATATGTGTCTTTTGCCTACATGTATGTTTGTGCACTGCTTGTGTGCCTAATGACAACTGAGGCCAAGAGAGGGAATTGATTCTTTGAAACTGGAGTTATAGGTGATTATGAGCCACCATGTGTGTACTAGGAATCGAACCCAGGCCTTTGGAAGAACAGTCAGTGGTCTTAACTGTTGAGCCATCCCTCCAGCCCTAGGAGCTGTTAGATGATAAAATTTTGGAAGTGGACAGGAAGGATAGAGAAAAAAATTAAAATAAGAGAGGAAGAAAAAAAGAATTTGTGCATGATACAAATGTCATAAGATTTCGGAAACATAAAGGAAGCAAAGTCTACCCAAAGAGGAAATGTACGAAGACCTTAAGAAACCATGGAAGGAAGTAGGAGAAGGAGGAATTGTGAAGGCTGAAAGAGGGGAGCCAGCACCAGCATAGAAGACAGCTGGACAACATGAGAGGGTTACAGAGTAACAGCTTAGTGGTCACAGACTAAAGTGGTGGGAGGGGAGCACAAAATAGTGGAGGCTAGACCAGAGTGGGTGTTTCCAGGAATGAATCAGTATGAGCATGGGAGAAATTGTGCCCAAGCATCGCTCCAAAGATATCTGGGAGATTATGAGTGAGAGGACTGGGAGGAGTCAGTGTGAGCTTCCAAGGCTTGCCTGTTTAGCACCCCAGGGCTCCAGTAGGTCAGTGGTCCTCACACCTGCCTGCAACATTATACTCTCGGGAGCTTTGTGAAAATATTTCCCTGATGCTCGTTCCCTACCATTCCCAGAGAAGAGGATGTTAAAGGGTCCTAGATTATGACTCCACACAGCGTCTTGCAGAGGTGGAAAAGCTTCCCAAGAGATGCTGACAAGCAGCAAGGGTTGAGAACTACTAAAGTTCAGCCAGTGGGTTACTTATTCAGTCAAAAATAATTTACATCATCATTTCGTTGATAACAGAATAGATTTTAGTTGGAAGAAAAAGAAACATCTTTCTGAAAAGCATCTGTTCATGTTATAGGTTACATGAGATTGATGATTATTCATAAACTTCAAAGATGAGATATCTTCCCACAGGAAAAAAGATAACACTGAAAAAGCCACTCAAAAAGCATAA